ATGAATGTTGAGTGAGTGGTTGGGGAGAGGGGGGGGGGGGGGGGGGAGGAGACAATGGATCAAATTTATCAAAGCATAAAAAAGGCTGACTGGCTAGTATTAATTTAAATGAATGCCATATAGGACTAGAATCTAGATTTCACTCAAACTGTACAACCTTGAACAATAAGTGTTTGGGGCCTGTTTCCTTAACTATAAAAATGGGCTGATTCATTATTTCAGAACCAGCTGATATACTTAAAAATACATTCCAAGCCTGGTCACAGAAGTGAATCAGAATCTTAAGTACTAAGTGACTGAGGTGTAGACAGACTTGGGAATCACTGGTCAAGGTGAAATTTAATGGCTTAAAAACCAATTTGATGACATGCAGGAATAACTTATTTGATCAATGTATAGGTTAAGAAGTGGTATTAACTTGCAAAAGGCCCTGGAACGAACCCAGGCAAGTGCAAGTAACATAACCTGTTTTCCCCTCTTTAATAACTTAAGCTCCAATAATCTGTCAAGTATTAAGAGTCTGACTTAAATAACATCAATAAAAAGCCCCTTAGAAAGCTATTCAAGTCTGAATTTATTACAAACAAGTTCACATCTAAGAAACAAGATAGCTTGCCAAGGATACCACTTACGCATGTTATTCTTATCTTTAGACATGGCAGCTACTGCATCTTCATGTGTCACAAACTCTACATCTGCTTCTCCTGTTGCTCTGCCATCAGCCCCAATATCAATATGCACTCGTATTGGATTTAGTGGTGAGAAGAACTAAATAAAAGAAAATATTTGTTACTTTTCTATTTATAGTACTGAAATTACCACCACATGCCTTGGCTTTTTCCTCATTAAAAAACAAACTCTTCTGCTCTGTGTTGCAAGGCTAACAATTCCATCAACTCCAGAGATTCTAGGAATATAAGAAATTATTTCTATGATGAGCTAAGTGGTATTAAATTTAATAAAACATTTCTAACCTAGAGAACAGTTTACCTAAACAGATGAAAAATTTCATACCCTGCTATTGAGAGGAAGAATAAGTACACCCCTCCCAAAAAAGGTATTTCAAAATTGTTTGAAATATATGTAGGTTTCCTAGAAGCATATGTACAGGAATTGGGTGTTATAATGCTGAACAACAGAGTTTGATAAACCTACAAACTGTGGAAGGATAGCTTCCAAAAAATGTATCATTTAGTTCTAATCACAAGTTAACCAAGTTTAAGCAATCCTAAAAGGCACCTGGAATTAGGCCAACTGGTTCCTCAGTAAGATCTAGAGCAAACAATTTCTTTAAAAGAATTAAGATAGTAAATACGCTTGGCTAGGTCCCTGGTTCTCTACAGCAACTAATCAATGGGTAAATAAATGAGCGTGTAGCTGGATATGGCCCATGGGCTAAGGTTTATTGATTCTCTCTAACCAATTTGAAACTAACCAGTTTCAAAACAGTAGCGACTGCTTCCATTATTTTCAGCTCCTCACCATATAGCCAGAAAATCAAACTACTAAAACTTGTTAACATATTTATACTTTAAAAGTGTAAATATGTTTATAGTCACCACTACTCTATGATGATCAGTCTTTCAATAAATTCTTTTCTTTTTTAAACACCTACAGCACCTAGTATTCCAAGGTGGTCTCCTATCCAAGTACTTACCAGGCCCAACCCTACTTAGCTTCCAAGATCAGACGGGATTGGGCATGTTCAGGGTGGCATGACTGTATACTTTCACTAAATTCTTAACTGGACTTTATAAATATAGCTTTTATTTGCTTGACTCCTATGTAATATTTAACTAAAGATGTATATATATTTTTCCATATTAAAGAGATTCTGATAATCACTCACATTAGCAATGTCATTTTCAGTTGCACGAAAAGGCAATCCTCTCATATGTACAAAATGACCACCATGAAAACCTGAACTTGCATCACCAGCTCCACCATAGCCATGTCCTCCCATACCTAGAGAATAAAATTTCCAAATATTATAAACTACTGATACATGTAGGAAAGAAAGCATTTCAACATTATTTCTTCCCTATACACGCCTTTTTCCTACTTACACTGTTTTGAAAACCCCAAGAGATCTTAACACTTGAGCACTTACCTACAAGTATACATCTATATAAAGCCCTATGGAGAAATGCACTAAAATATGCCTGAGTTGACTTTATGTAAGTCACCTATATTACCACTAAATAGTTGTAAAGCAAATACTTAAATTCACCTAAAAATGAGTATTTAATATTTACCTCTTCCATCTCTCATTCTGTCATCAAAGCCATCATTTCCATAGCCATAATTATTATAGCCACCATAGTCATCAAAACCTCCATAACCTGCATAATTTGAGAAATACATGAATATACTTTAAAGAGATAAATTTTATAATCTAGTTAACAAAAACTTACTTTGTGCTAGTCTGATTAAATTATTACAAGTTTGCAACTCCCAACAAGTGAAAAAAGCAGCTAACATTTGGTGGAAATAAAAATCTCAAAAGGATACATTTAGACATCAAAATTTTCACCCACATTTATGCCAAACAGAAAATGTCAAAATATGCCAGTATCTTCATTTAATTTCTGTAAATGTCATCTAGGTGCTAATATGTGCATCAGTCAAGTCCCACAGCTGGCCATGGGAATACATATTTTCATGAACAGGTTTTAAAACCTATTAGGTACTGAAATTACTGCCATTTCTATATTTCTTGACAAAGTGTCAGGAATATTAAGAAAATGACAACAGAACCTTTGTTCATTAGATACACATACCACCATCATATCCATCACCTCCTCGTCGCATTCTGTCATACATACTTCCACGCCCAGCTCCATAATAACCCCCTCTTCCTCCTATTGGTCTATCATATGGTCCCGGTCGTTGGCCCAGCAATCTTCTTGGTGGATCATAAAATCCTTTGATTTCACTCCTGCTACTTCTGAAGATCTCAATATACCTATTTAAAAATGGTTTAAGGTACAGGTTTCAGCTCAAATGTATTAGAGTAAATAAGATAGTGGGCAAAATGCAGCAAGTTTTTCTATTTCTAGATATATAACCCAATTTAAATTGCCTAAATACGCCATAAAGAACATTTTTATACCTACAAACTTAAATAATTAATATTTAAGTTTTACACAGACAAATTAGTTATTTGAAAACAATTCATAAAATATAAATTTTAGCTTGTTTTTTTCCTTTAGTACATGATAGGTGTTTAGAAAAAATAGTTGATGATACAAAAGCATTTATCAACATCCTACAGAGAAAAGGGAAACAATCTATTTTCAATTTAAGCAATCTATTAGCATTAATTCCCCACCCAAATCTGTAGTTTCCAAGTTAAATTTAATTATCAATTCTTTTAAACTACCCCAGAAAAATGTTACTGTTACCCCCCCATTTAAGCAATAGTGACCCGCAACCCCCAAAAATAAAAATTTAATACCATCCCAAACTCTCCATCCCCACCTGTGCCCTATTCTTTCCTTGTGTTTCCCCAGAGCATTTTCTGCTATCTCCTTTGAAGCAAACTGCACGAAGGCCTCCCCTGTGCTTCTCCCCTGGTAGTCCATCGTCAATGTTATCCCATTTGGCACGATTTCCAACCCTTTAACCCAAGGACAAATAACCCCATCAAGGGGAACAGTGTTAAAGGCTGAAACATTCCCATCTGAATCAAATATTTAAAACAAGTCTAAACAAAACAAAACAAAAAAAGCTTAGTTCCCCATCACCCCATAAAAGATTTTTTCAAATATTACTGGGTAACAAAATTTTCTTGAGACCAATGTCTTTTAAAATTACATACAACACTCTAAAAGCCCACCTATGTTATATGAAAAAAAAAAAAAAGAAAAAAAAGAAAAAGCTCAAATCAAATTTAACTATGCTCCATATGCTAATTCACGGTTCATTTCATCACAGGTAATTACTCTCAATTAAGTTTATTGCACATTAGTTTTTACATATTCTACATATTCTGTATTGAATATTAACTGGAGCACATTTCATAACTGAATATCTTAAAGATATCATAATCAAAAAGTCCCCCAAATGGGATTTACAAATTAAAAACAGTAATATAAAATTAAAATACTACTGAACTTTGACTAATACTAGAGGTACCTTGAAAGAACTGAACTATTTCCTCTTTGCTGCAACCAAATGGTAGTCCACGAAGTCGTACTGTCCCATCACTAGCGTCATTTGGACCATTATGTTTCATAACCCAATCCATCTCAATACCGTTTGATTTAAATGCTATAAAAAATAAAGAAGCACATAAAGCAGTCAATCAAAATATACTCTTGTCAGAGGTACTGAAGAAACACCTCAGTGGTACATAACAGGAAATGTTAACATATGGCTCAGTGACTCCGTTGACAATGCCACAATACAATGGTACAATACCTTTTTGTTTTGAGGTAGGTATAAAGAGTGGGAAAAGGCAGTGAAATCTGATTCCTCCCACAAAAAAGTACTGAATTTCTAAGATCAAATATATATATTGGCTAATTTTTAGAAAACTTACATAATTCTCCACTATTAGTCTTCTAATGCCTCCTATTTTTTGAGCCTGTCATTTAATGTCAACTGTGTCTTCCTCATCTCTTAATTTTTCATTCACTTTTTTCAGGTTTTATTACTTAAACAGTTCTGCAAATTATTTAAAACTTGATTACTCAAGAGTTGCACATAGTACCACCATCACTCACAGTTAAGAGCCGTAATCAAAAGTACGAGTATCTTTGATGTTGACAAAATGGCATTACAAAAGACTAAGTTTATTAGATGTACTGTAATTCTGAACACATCAAATTGTTTTTGAAGGGGAAAAAATTCCTATCTCTATTTTAACTAAATCTGGTTTGAACACTCCTCAAGAACAAGTTTTAAAATGACTGAACTAATTAATTAGGATGCATTTTAAAACAGGGGTAAAAGGTCACTCCAAAGCGAATGCCTTCTAACAGTTTTGTGAAGCCACCTGTTTTGGAAGTTATGGGAAACGATGTATTAAAAACCAGTCTACTCACTGCTTTACTTTTAAACACAACATTTAAAAAATGATAACACATTCATATAAAGTATTAAGAAGGGTACAGTAAGAGGCCCTCCTTCCTCTTCAAAAAGAACCCGTCCACCCACTTCCCATCGCTGGACAACCATCCTTTTAAAATTCCAGAACACTTCAAAGAGGCTAATAATATGCAGAAGTCCTTCAGCTGCAGAAACTTACCAGACCTCACAAATTTCACTATGCAGCTGTAGGAATCCTACTCACCTGAATATTTCAAACCTTTCCCTCACCACCTCCTCCCCTGTAAACAAGACAATTTGTTCACTTGATTCTTTTATGCTCAAGGATTATATTTCATATCAACAGTATTCAACTTCACATGATCTAATTATCAGTGCAACCTTTAGGGGCAGCATCTGCAAATCTCCCTCCACCCCAGAATCCATGCATTTAAAATAAGCTAATGTAGAAAATTTCCAAATATGGTTATTAGTCGAGTATCTCTCCCTATGAATCACTGCCAGCAGTTACTTGTTTTTTTAAAGCAAGAATCCTAGGTGCCACTCTAGACAGATCCCAAATGGAAAGAATATGAATTTTTATCTGATGTCACAACTAGTTCTTATGCACTCAAATAACTGCTATGAACTTTTATGGGGTGGGGGACCACCTCTGGGTTTGAATCCCTGGTCGTCCACTCACTGGCTACCTAATTTAAGCAAACTATTTAACCCCTGTGCCCAACTGTAAAAGCAGTGGTGTGCCTACACTTCATTGGACCATTTTAAGAATCATTCAGTGCTTGGTCTGGGGCATGATAACTATTCAATGGTGGCCATTGTTACTGGATTTTTAAGGGGCCCTGTAGAACTATGAAATGTACCACAAACAAAATAACTCAATCTTAAAGGATAAAAAAGTATTCTGAGTCTTGAAAGGAAGTAAGGACTGTTAAAAGTCTTTTCCAAAGTCAACAAAGGCTCACATTTTCTCGATTCCTTTGGAAATGTCTAAAGCAGAGAGAAAAAGACAGGTTTTTCTTTTGAAATGTTTACTACAATATATATTAGATAGATGATTTCAAAATATTCTTCTAGAGTATAGCCCTGAAAGAAGTAGGCCCCACATCCATTCAAAAAAAAGTTGAGACATTTTGAAGACCTGCCATTTTCTTAAAAAAAAAAAGGGGGGGGGAAGGCATCAACTTAACAATAGCTGTCTTCTATAAAGGGTGATTTAAGAGAAGGGGAGAAAATAAAGACCTAACATCACATGTTAATTCCTCATGAAAAATATTAAGAACTTTAAACACAATCTAATATGTTGTGAAAAGTGTGCTTTTTACAATTTAGCACATTTCAATGTAAAGACTGTTTTGGAAACATACAAAAAAGATGGACTTCTCTTTAATACAAATCTTAGCACTTTCCAAGAAACACTAGCAAGCAAAATAGTTTTGATTTTTGGATCAGCCTATACCAATGAGACCTATATAAAAACAAATGTCTATTAAACACACACACACACACACACACACACACACACAATTTTATACTGAGGAAAAGTTAGCCAGATTTGGAAAGAACTTGTATAGGGCGATACTCTATCCCAAGTGTACAGAGCCACCCTCTTTTTTCTCTTTTAAAAGCACTGACTCTAGAAATCTACTTAACAAAATAAAACCAAGATGAACTCAAGGCATACAAAAAGACAATCTACTTCAGTACTTTAATAAAGCGGTCTCAGAAGCTACCCAAATAGTTTTTACTAATTATTCAGGATAATCCATCTCACCCTTTCTTTCCAAAAGCATCATGGCTAATCACAATTCTGCTTTAAGAATTACAAGTGTTAGCACCAATTAAAAATACCAGCAGTTGAAATATCAGGACAACTTTAATCAGTTTTGTAGGAGACTTTAAATATTAATTTCCTATAAACATTATGCTAAGTTAAAGACGCCAGCCACAAAAGAACACATATTGTGATTTTAAATGAGTTAAATTTATGTGAATTAAATTAAGAAAAAGCAGCTAATAGAGGCCAAATGAAATATAAAACTCCCTTATAAGATTATATACTATCTTCCAAAGTATAATACATAAAGGGCTTGATACATCAATAAATAACTTTCTAAATGGTAGCTCGCTAGTGCTTAAAAAATGAGAATGAACTTAAAATTTTGGTAACAAGGTGGTGATGCTTAAATTTTTTTCATCATTCCCCCATTCCAATGTGTTTGCTGATTTTTAAATTAAAAAAAAAAAAAAAAAAAGACACCACTAAGACTTAAAGGTGAGGTCACTAAAAATGATTATGAACGAGTTCTAGAACAGTTACCATCTACTGTAGTTCAGCAGCTGTTTATCAAAATGAGGACACGAAAAAAAGCATGGCTATTAAAAATACAAAGGCAATTAAGATGGATTTCCAGATTATGATGTAGATGAGGGCAGAAAAAAGATTTCTAGGGCAATCCAATTAGGAAAGCTGTTATATACTACTTTACAGGAAAACTCTGGGCTGTCTTTTCAAAATCCATTAAAATCACATACCATCTTCAACAATAGGAAGGTTTTTTTGTTTTGTTTTTAACCCTGGAAAAGTAGATAACAGACTTCTTGTAAAGATTCATATACATTATGGGAAACTCTTCTTCTCAGGATTTCCCTGTCCTTTTCGTACCGTCTTCATTTAAAATTACTGACCCAGTTCTCAGTTCTAAGGACCAACAGTCACCACCACCACGTAACTAGGCTTTCGGACCAGTCATTTTAATGAGTAGGCCTTATTTTTCTTGATGAAAATATTACTACAGTCCTGCTAACTAAATAACTCCCAACTGTATTTTTAAGTACTTATACAGCCTAAAACCAAGAGACTTCGCACAAAATACAACCCCTGTTTACAGTCAGTAACTTAATTCCTACATACACGCACGTCTGCCACCACTGGTTGTGTTTTAACTGTTTCCCAAGTGTAAAAACTACTTAAATTCTAATCTAGCACGTGCCAAACTACACAAAACCGTGGTTAAACCACCCCACCCCCGCCCAAAAGTTCAATAAGCCGTATCATAGTTCGCTGTGCCCAGACAACCTATTTGAAATATGCCCATTTCACATTCCTATTTGATGTCACTCGCTTTTCTGATTACAAAACAATTACCCACAAAGTCTTTAAATATGTTTAAGATCAGCGTGGAAAAAAAAAAACCCCTTTGGAAAATGAGTACGTACTCTTTTCGAAGTTCCAAATCTGGAATATAAGGGCAGGCTAAGCGTCCTTTATTCCTCCCCGGAGACTTTTCGTTTATCTAGCTGTCCTAGAGACCAGAGAGCTAGGGAGAGTACTCTCCTTTCCCCTCCTCCCCGGCCGGCAGCCAAAGCCAGGCTTAGAAACCTTCGCCACCGGGCGGCGGAATTACAAAGGAAGCCGTCTGCCTCCTTTGTCCTGGATTTGGGAGTTGAGCGCCTTCGTCGCCATTGACTTTCCTCCCCCAGGTCCAGCCTCTCTCATCTTGAGAATCTGCGTCAGAAGTCACTCGCAATCCCGCCAGCCCAGGTAGCCCTGCCGAGACTGCGGAGGAAGGGAGGCCGCGGTGGGAGGCTAGGCCCATATGGCGCCATTTCCATCGGGAGCGCGCCCGCCAGCCCAGAACCTCCCCGCACCCAAGTGCCCGGCCTTCCCCTGCTCGCTTCGTTCCCCACCCTCATCCCTTCCAAGGCGCTCTGCCCACCCTCCAGCCTTCTAAGTCAGTTTTCGGAAGCCTGGGCACAAAAAGTAGAGAGGGGAAGGGCGGGAAGCCGTGGTGGCCGCGCCACCGTACCCAAAATGGCGGAAGCCAAACCAGCAGGGAAAGGGGGAATGCTGGATGACTCCCACTTCGGTCCACGGCTTCGTCCACTGAATTCCACCTGAGTAAGTCCTCCCCCCGGCATGCCGCCCTCCTTGAAGTGGGAGATCGCCTGGGAGGCGCAGTCTGGCCGCTTCCGAGCGGCGACCTCCACACTTCCCCCCCTGCACTCCCTCCCAGTCTTTCGTCCTTCTCCCGACTCCGCTCTAGAAACCACCAGCCCAACCTACCCCCTTTTACTTCAGATACCCTGTCGAGCGACAGCAGCGCCGACTGCGGTGCTTGCGAGGTCCAGTCGTAAGGAAGAAGTCTCTTGACTGGTGGAGCCCTGCCCACAACGGTTCTCCCAACCGTCTCCGGCGGAGGTAACCGCTATGGGAGCTGCGCAGCAGCGCGACTGGCTTGGGGGGATGGGAGAGAGCGAGCGAGGAGGGGGTAGGCGGAGCGAGAGCAACGAAGACCAACCAGTCCTGTTCTCGCGAGACTAGAGCTTTGGTCCCAATTTGGCGCGGGCAGCAAGTAGTACGCTTGCGCTGCTGGTAGGTTGCCCAGTGGTTGGTGGGGAGGAGCCGAGACTGGTCCAGTCAGAGAAAGAGGCGGGGAGTTCCGCCCTTTTGCTTACCGTACTACATCAAATGCTCAGAGTCCCCGTTTCTGCCCTCTCAGAGAGAATGTTAAGTGGCTGTAGTAGTTCTGTCAGTGTGTGTTGAAGGAACCGTGATGTCGCGGTTTGATAAAGTTCTCTGGTAGTCTGCCCCACCAAGAACAAATTTCATAAATACTCCACTCTCACCCAAGCGTCAAACGCGTGGAAAAGGCGCCACTTGGTTCCGACGCCAAATGCAGGGAGGGCTTTTTTGGTCCACCATGTTTGCATTATGCAGTAAAAATAGGAATTTTTCCATGCTACGGAGACTCAAAAGTGTCCACCAGGCCCCATTTCGGCTCTTGGGCTAGGTAGGGCTCCTTCCTCCGGCCCTGGCTCTTGTTTGGGGACTTCTCGATTGATTGCCTCCCTACTACGTTCCCCTACAAATCGCTCCTCGCTTTCGCGGTCTCTTGCCATTCACTGACTGCTCAGCTGCTCACGTCTGACTTCGAGTTGTTTTCTAATAAAGCTTTGCATCCTTGAAAATTGTGCATGCTAGTGACACCTAATACATACTGTTTGGTTTTGCTCTTTGTACCAAGGTTCCTACTGACACCTTAAAACGCAAGCCTAATTCCTGGGAAGGGTGGAGGGCAGTGCTGGTAAAGAGATCAATGCAGGTTAAGGTCCAAACGTTGGAACGTACATGAAGTGAGAGAGAGAAGAAAATGAGTTTGAGCACACTGTTGTTCTTGTGTTTGGAAAGGTGGACGAAACTAGATTGTAGACCCTCAATATCCAAAGACTTTGTATTACAGACATTGGGAAGCCCACAAAGGGGTGAGATAGTGGGCGCAGGAGGCGTTAGCAGTGGAGAGGCTTGAATAATTTTTTCCTCCATGAGATCTGCAGTGTGTAGAGTGGAGACAGGAAACCAGTTACATTCATACAATGGAAACTTCAATTTCACGGCTTTAATTCATCCTCAAACTTGCTTAAGACAATTGTGGGACACTAAGAACTGGCTAGATCACAGTGCAGTACTGCCTTTCTTCAGCCCACTCCCTCAAAATAGCCTTCATCACAGTGGCCAGAACATGGAAGCAACTGAAGTGTCCTACAATAGATGACTGGATAAAGAAGCTGTGGTACATGTATACAATGGAACATTACTCAGCCATAAGAAGAGAGAAAATATTGCCATTTGCAACAATATGGATGGACCTTGAAATAATCATACTAAGCGAAATAAGCCAGACAAATTTGAAAATCATATGGTATCACTTGTATGTGGGATATAAACCTAAAAGCAACAAATGAACAGGACAAACAAAAAGAGACTCATGGACATGGACAATGGACTAGTGGTTACCAGAGGGGAGGGAGTGAGTGAGAAGAGGAGTTTAAATAATTTCTTCAATTAAAAATAAAAAAAAAATACCCTTCAGAGAAAGGGGGAAGGGAAACTATGGTCATCGCCACAAGAAACAAAAACAAAACTAGGATAATGGAATAACAATAGCTCACATTTACTGAGAGCATGTTTGAGCTAGGTGCTGTGCTCAATTCATTGACTCTTTACAACTCTAAAAGATTATTATTGTCCCCAATTTACGTTTGAAGTGCCTGAGTTCTAGAGAGGTGAAAATGTTGCCCTAGGTCACAAACCTAGTGGCAGAAGTTAGTATTCGAATCCAAATGGTTTTACTCCAGGGGCCAGGGTCTTAAAGCACTATGGACCTTCCTAGGGTTGCAACTAACTTAACCATGCATTGTGGGAACAAACATCATTTTGGGCAAATTGAAGTTACTTCCCCTAACGAACACTGGAGTTATGATCAGGAGACCTGCAGTTAACAATTTATTGGCTGGAGACTTCTGAATGGGACTGAAACTTGATGTCTCAGTTTTACTGACGCTGAGTGTCACTCCCCACTCCCCGCTTTTTAAAATTGCTGTATTAGTAAGACTCCAAGCGCTCACACTTCAAATGGAGTTCTTTCCTCAGTTTAAGTTACATCCCTACTTTATCCTTTCAGTCTTTCAACCCGATTTGGTAGTTGGAATTTTGTAATCCCTTTCACCCCTTGCCTGAATTCAAACAGGCTATTTACTGCTTGATTGAGTTTTGCATTCTTTGCACATACTTTGTGTGGTTAGGGCCACAATCCTAAAATCATTCTAATGACTTTTTACCACTACATCTTGATTTTTTTTTGGCCACAGTTTCTTTGTATTGATCACTCTGCTGTTTGCCAGTGTGAATGCTTTCAAAGAACTTGAAATTAGTACATATATATTCCTTTTGCTTTTATTATTATAGCAAATAGGAATTTTGAGTTAAAAAAAGTACACTAATAGGGGTAAATTTATTTTTATTTGGCTTCCTATTTTACTATCTCTCTCTCTCAAAAAAAATGTCTATCACCTATTGACATTTGCAAGTTGAATCCTCTAAGTAAGGCTTGATGAGATTGGCTCACCACTACTCCAATGATCCCTACAGAATTGTTTCCAGATGGATCTCTGTGGAGTTGTTTCCATAGAGATGGTTAGAACTAAGGGCTCCCAGCCGCTTTGGGGATTTTTTTTTCTCTTTGTGTTCCTTTCAGTCATTTCAGTGCTTTCCTATTAGCATAGAGGTCAGAGGGACCCTGGAGAGGATCTTGTTAGCAAGAAGAGATAAAAAAGGAGAAGGAAATAGAAGTACCCACACCACTTAGGGGAAACAAGGCAATGAACATGTGATCATGTATTACACCATCAACATGAAGAGGAGAGGAAAATTCCATGCAAAGCCTAAGAGTAAGAGAAAGACAGAAATGGAAAGAGATTGCACCGAGTGAAGGAAGACACATTAACTAAAAGTTAAGATAGCTGTTCACATATCCCAATGACATTCTAAAATAACATAAAAACTGGATTATCAGAATCTTTTTGTGTATTTGAAAAGAAAATAAACTAAACTTAAAATTTACAAATAAGTTTCTAGGAGTGTGTCTAATTAAGGTAGTTAATGCCTTTTGAACACTTAATCTGTCTTACTAACATTTTGTGAAATGCTTGTTCTTGGACTTATATATATCTACTGTCTTTAGAAAGCAGTGATCTTCCTTGTCATGATTCAAATTATTTCTCAAGACAAGGCTTAATTACACAATTAACTTTCTTAATACTTTAAGTCACATAAGTGTTCATTCTGGGACTAGAGGAAACCAAAGGTCTCATCCACTTTTAATAATTATATATTAAGTAAGCAAATGGAAATTAAAAAGGAAGAAAGCACCTAACACACTTTCTCTAATTTTTGAAGATGATTAAAAGTATTGAACATTTTTTCTCTTCCAGTGGATTGATGTGAAGAACAGGGAAAAAAGCTACAAAAGGTAGTTATTTAAGGAATTGAAGCCAAATTATAGTATTGCTTTCAATGTGTCAGAAGTACATTAATAACTTAGAAAACATAAAAAAGAGCACAGATAATACAGCAACAGACTGCTGCCCCCCCCCACACGATTTAAAGCTTCTGAGAGGTACAATGTATAGCAGGTTTCTATACACTTCTGTTTCCTCTACTGTTAACATGTCATTGTGGTATATTTGTCAGAACTAATGAACCAACACTGGTCCATTGCTATTAACTAAATTCCACACTTTATTTAGGGTTCATTAGGGATCCCAACAAGGATACTGTATTACATTAGTCATCATGTCTCCTTGGTATCCTCTAGTCAGGTATTTTGTAGAATATCCTTTAATTGGGATTTTTCTAATGTTTTTCTCACGATTAGACAGTGCTATGGGTTTGGGGGAAGAAGACCACAAAGGTAAAGTACCATTCTCATCACATCATGTCAAAGGTACATTCTGTCAACATAATTTCTCACTGATGATGTTACCCTGATCACTCAGCTGAGGTAGTGTTTGTCAGGTTTCTCCACTATAAAGTTATTTTAGTCTCTTCCTATGTTCTACTCTTTGGAAAAAAGTCACTGAATACACTCCGCACTCAAAGGCGGCAGTGGCATTTAAGTTCCATATCCTGGAAGGGAGAGTAGCTAGGTAAATTATTTGGAATTATTCTATAAGGGAGATCTGGCCCTTCCTTCCTTCCTTCCTTCCTTCCTTCCTTCCTTCCTTCCTTCCTCTTTCTTTATCCCTTTCTTCCTTTCTCTCTCTCTCCTTTTCTCTCTCTCTCTCTTCCATCTCTTATTTATGTCAGTACAGACTCATGTACATTAATTTTATACTTTTAATCCAATACTATGTAACTTATTTTGTTGCTCAAGTTGTTCTTGCTTTAGGCTACTGGGAGTCCTTCAAGTTGGCTCATATTTCTTTGACATGCCCCTATACTTTTTATTGAGTAGTCAGCCCTCTGTATCCATGTGGGTTCAACTGGATGGAAACTATATCTTTTTAAATGTTACACTGTTGCAGACATGTACTATGTAGTTAGGCCTATGATGGTTGGGT